GTCAGTGTACGAGAAATGCCGACCTCTTCCACTGCGACGGTATACACCCCTGATCCATGCCATGCATGCAATGCTACTGTCGACAACGGACGAAAGAACTCCGAATCATGGGAATTTCCCAAAAAAGACAGTGAGCAACAGTGGGAGATTACAAAAATGAAAAATACCAATGGTATAAATTTATATGTAAAAAGAAACAGAAAAGATAAATCTCGAACGTTCGGATTTTCCCATGGCAAATCGAACGTTTTTTTATGGCAACTTTAGTTCACACGAGGATGCCAAGTTTATAGTTGTTAATCATGGCATCCCGCAATTTGTTTTTTGCTAGGAAATTGCCATGCATGCCAACTTAACTTGCCATCCTCACGTCAAGAAAGTTGCCATAAAAAATGTTCAATTTGCATACAAGTAGCTTGGTACTTTTCTCCTTCTTTCAATGATGACAATTTGGAAAAGGTACGGGACTTATTAGAGCAATGATGAGAATTTGGAAGAGGTAAAAAAAAGGGGGGGGGGGATAAAAAATGGGCTAGAAGGAGGGCTCAAACATCCGAACTTGTGGTTAACAGCGAACGCTCTGGCAAATTGACCTATTCCAGCTTCATGTTCTTAATTTATATACAAGGTTATTTATTAGAAAATGCTTATGTATGTTCCCTTGGCTTTCATACATACAAGTAGCTTGGTATTTTTCTCCTTCTTTCAATTCTATAAATAGTTTCCATGTTTGGCTGCAATCGCTCTTATACATACTGTAATGATACTTTAGAACTACTTAAATTATCTAAGCAGAAGCATGGAGAGATTTAGTTAATTGAGTACTAGAGCACACTTTCTTGAGGCCAAAAAAAACCTTTAATGAATAACAATTGATTTTAGTTCATATGCTTATACATGTTCCCTGAATTTTAGTTCAGCCATTTCGTGTATCTGTCCATATAAAAGAAATAGGGAAGAGTGCAGTGTTTCTGCTCCCGAGCTCATCTTCACCCGCCCTGGCGGAAAAAATCAAAACAAATTCAAAAAATTCCAATTTTTTTGTGTGGTAGATAAGTTTATGCATGAGGTGAGCTCCAAGTTTCAAGTCATTTGGACATCTGAAGAACTCTCAGCAAAAAAGACGAATTTAGGGTCTGTAAAAAAGTTCACTGTTCACACACTGTTCTGACCCGATACGTTTTTTTGCTGAGAGCTGCTCACATATCCAAATAAGTTAAAATTTGGAGCAAACCTCACGCATAAACTTATCTACCACACGATTTTTTTTGGAATTATTTGAATTTTTTAACATTTATTTTATTTTTTTCTAACCAGGTGCAGATGAGCCTGGGCACCGAATTGGGTTTTCGAATAGAGAAGTCCTATTATGTTTATTGAATGGAGAGATCACATGTGCATATGCTCCCACTATTTCTGATCATGCAATCTGGTGCCAAATAGAAGCATTTCATAAGCCACAACGGTTGGCATAGAAAAAGGTAGACCAATTCACCTAAAATAAGAATCTAGCAAAACAGTAGAAGATTTAGAAACTAATAGAACTAAAATTCGCCTATGAATCAAAAGAACCAGCCGAACAAAATATTCATTCCCATGAAGACATACAAAGTGTCTGATCATTAACTAATTGTTTGTAATATGGATTACCATGAAATACTATTAAATGCATGTTTTCGGTATGAGTTTACATGTAAAGCATCAAACCAGTAATTGAATCAATGAATTTGATCCTATTTATCCTATGGGTGCCCATGGAGAACTAAAATATTTTTTGGGTGATAATAATTTTCAAAACTATATACCCACAACATAATCCATTGGCAATATTTCTACAGTTTATGTGTTGCTCGACACTAAACTAGCCCGTGCGCTGCACGGGTTCACGAGTAGCATTGGTAATGTCTGATTAGGGATAGATTTATTATTTGTTAGTTTTAATCACAATTAACAATCTAATCAATTAAATTAACCCAATCCATCCAATGCGGCATCGTTCGTTCGCTACTCACGACAGCATGCCGCCGCAAAATCTCCATGCAGTGCGCCCGCGGAAGGACCTCCGCTGTACCGACTCTGCTGCACCAATGAGGGCACAAAATAAACTATTTTGGACGGTACGCAGTGCATTAGCTGCTTTGATTTTCATTTGATGAACGACAATGGCGAGGCGACGGACGATGCGGTGGCGATCAATGCGACGCACGCGTGCGATGGCCTCATGCGATAGCAGATGACACAGTGGACACCTGGGTGAACTCCATGAGCGTCCTTGCGCGGAGGCATGTGAGCGAGTGCGTCCACGACCCACATCGCCACTACTCCCTTGGGCCGCCGGAGTGGCCCGGCAGGTGAGGCACCGCGGCAACGACGGGCCTGGTTCAAGCGCAAGGTGCGGATTCGGCGCTTGCAGGCCGAGAGCTTCCTGTGGAGGCGACTTGTAGCCTCTAAGTCTACAAGCGTATCCGGCCGGCGGCGAGCCTACACTAGCGTAGGCGTAGCTTTTCTACATCATTGTGTACATGCGGTGCAGGCCAACTTTTGTCACATGTGTTACAAGTTTGAGACTGTTCTTTTTACCGGAATGGCAGGAGTTCTGCCTTTTCATTATAGTGGGGAGTAAAACTATACAGAGTTGTCAAAAAAGATTGACAGCCAGGGAAAGGCTTTTGATGTGCTACAGTCTCAATCCGTTCTTTTTTTTGAGCATCAGTACAGACACAAGCGCTCATATACACGCGCATACACTCACCCCTATGAACGCACACACGCACACCCTACCCCTATGAGCACCTCCGAAAGACTGAGCCGGCATATCATCTTGAGATTTACGAAGTCACCGTAGGCACCTCGTCGTCGACGGGAACGTCTCCTCCCACTGAAAGCGCATCGCCGAAAATCCTGAAATAAATCCAGGAATAATGCGAGCACCAGGATTTGAACCCTGATGGGTTAGGGATACCACTGTCCACCTAACCAACTCAACCACAGGTTGATTCGCGTCTCAAACCGTTCAGATGGATCATGGATGCCTGGTTTTGATGGTGGTGTCGACCAGTGGTTGGGTTAGCTGCATGGTTTTGGTAGACCTCGGTGCCATGTCCGCTGTGTCCCGATGTGACCCTCTTTTCCTTGACATTGTATGTTTGGAAGTTACTTACCACATAACACCATGTGGTGTGTGATCCGATTCTCTATATACTCCCTCCGTCCTTAAAAGAGTGTACTTCCAACTTTGTTGGAAAGTCAAACTTATTTATGTTTGACCGTATTTATACAATAATAGACCAACTTTTGTGCCATCAAATTAGAAGCATTAGATTCATGATAAAATATATTTTCGTCATATACCTATTTGGTTTCACAAGCATTGACATATTTTTGCACAAACTCAATCAAACTTTGAGATAGTATGACCCTCCAATAAAGTTGGAAGTACACTCTTTCAAGGACGGAGGGAGTACACTGTGTTCGTTGCTCACCTTGAGAATCGGAGTTGCCTGGTTTTTGGAGTACGTGGCCGATTAGTTCGTGAAGGCCGGCGTCGACTTTGGGCATTGCTGCAAGAAGGGTAGCATTGATGGCAACTGCGATGAAGTCGAAGCCACTGGCTCTAGAAAATAGTGATGACCATGACATTGCCGGAAGACTAGATTGAGTGATAGGGGGATTTAATCAAGCCACGTGTATCACGTGTGATGCATTAAATTCGGCAGCTAAGAGCTACCACTTTCGTCTTGGTTTATTGGTTCTCTTCGTATTTTCTGTCAAAATTTGATCATGGATTTAATTAACAAAATGTTAATGCATGTCACAAAATTTAGTATCATTGAAAACTATTTCCAAATGTGAATTCAATGATGGCCATATGCATCAAATGATGCAGAGGCCGGGGGTTTTAACCTCCTTTTTCAAAACAAATGTGAATCCAATGATATTATTTTTTATGACATGCATTAATATATTTTTAATTAAATCTATGGTCAAATTTTGACAGAAAGTACGAAAAGGACCAATAAACTAGGATGGAGATAGTAGCAAAGATACTAATTAATCAGGGTTGACTGTATTATCATCGCTAGATCGCTAGAGAGAAGTACTGATTGGCGAGGCGTCGTGGTGGCCGGGGGAAGGGGAAGTGGTGGTTTGGCAATGGCGTCGAGCAGTGCTGAGGTCGCTCAAAGTTTTGGCTGTGGTTCATGTCCGTTCAGCCTTGAAGTTTGCATTGTTTTTTTCTATCTCTTGCTCGCCTTCCTAATTGGAGCTGCCCGGTCTTTGATCTTTGGTGTATGTGGCCGGCTATTTCTCAAAGGCCCGCGTCGACTTCGTGTAGTAGTTGCGGGAAGAAAATCATCGTTGGCTTCGAGAAGAGTGATGACCATGACATTACCGGTAAGGTCGCACGTGCATCACGTGTGATGCATTAAATCCGGAAGCGAAGAGTTGGTGTGGTATCGTTTTTTTTTTGCGAAGGAAAAAGAGACGAAGGTATCAACCCAGGTGGACGACATTATCGCAGCCAGGTCGCTGGAAAGAAGTTAATGCTCGATGTTCCCACCCATCAAGTAGGTTATAAGCTTAATTCAGTAACAGTGGCTGTACAGAGAAAAACACTGGTTGAAAGCATTAATTGGTGGCCAAAATAAAATTGGTTTGCTAGCTGCTTCCTCCTCTTTCAAAGAAAAAAAAAGTATAGTTAGGTCTCAGTCGACTAAGGCATAACCAAGTGGCAGTCAAATAACATAACACATAAAAAGGGAAAAGAAAAACTCTAAAGAAAATTTTACATGAATCTTCACGTAAGATCTCATCAATATAACATCGACTAGGACTTGGTTAAATCTCAGTCGACTGATGTTTGACAATCCCGAAAAAAAAATGTAGGTGACTCGCTCCGCCTACAAATTGCACCCACACACCAAGAGCGCCAAGGAAACTATATATACCAGAGTATATTAGCATCACGCTCGCTCCGCAACGTACAGTACACGCACGCGGCCATGTCCACCACCGACGTGCTCCTCGCGGCCTCCAGTAGCGACGGCCACCACATGAGCATCGACGACGCGCTAGCGCGGCATGCAGGGGAGTTCGGATGGTGGCAGCTGCGGCACTTCGTGCTGGTGACGGCGGCGTGGACGCTGGAGGCGATGCACATCATGGTCATGGTCTTCGCGGACCGCGAGCCAGCCATGTCGTGCCCCGCGGGGGACGGAAGGTGCGGCGACCGCTGCGCCGGCTCTGCGGCCGGGTGGGAGTGGGACCAGGGGAGCGGCTCCTCGACGGTGGCCGAGTGGGGTCTCGTCTGTGGCGAGCGGTACAAGGTCGGCCTCGTCCATGCAGTCTTCTTCGTCGGCAGCATGATCGGTACGTACGGCCTTTCGTGCATGCGGTCTTCGGCAACATGGCCGTGAACTAATCCTAACTTTCCGCAGAAAAGTAAGAAAACACAACCAATTAAACTCAAGATTATTCGAAACAATTTCCCCCTAAACTTTGTTAGAGTAATCTTGAGTATTAGGTTAGTTAGTTTGTACGTGGTCTACTAGGTAGTCAACTAGGACGTGTTGGACCTAGCTTGCAGGCCATGTATTAGTGCTAGGAATTCTAGTTAGCACAGTCTGGCTGGAAATAGTATTGCTGTGTCCTAGTTTGAGTTTAGTGGGAGTCCTAGACAGAGTCGGTCCATGTGGTTATCGTGTATTCTCTCTGTCCGGTATGCAGCAGCCTATAGGCCACAGCCCAAGGAGACAGCTTGATCATGGGGTACATACAGACGCAGCCTTCTCCAATCGTGATCGCCCAGGCCGATCCCAGTTGCGTCATGCATGTTGTCTGCGTCCCTGTACTCCCTTTTCTTCCCTAATTTCCGATCACGAGATTGCCAATCCTAATTCCCGGGCCCTGATTGCGAGTCAGAGACACGCCGCCGCTTCGCTCCAGTGTCAGGCGCTCGATGCACTCGCGAACATGGGTATCGTCGGGGGCCTCCCGCCAGAGCAAGACACAAGCGGCCGTGAGGAATAGACCCACAATAGCGTACAATGAACTGGCTGGATTGGATCGGAATTGATCAATTAATTCGAATCAACGCTCCACGGATCAACGTTAACCTCCTTTCTATATCTACTAGTTCTATTTTTTTGTGAATCTATTCTCTAGTTCTTAAATACTTAGTTTCGATTGTTTACAAAAATAGTTTGTCAATTGGAGTCGATATTTAGAATTGTTTTCAATATCTGAAGCATAGAACATGATTAGTGTTTTAAAAACTAGCACTAATCATATACATTTTTGAGATGACACCAACATTATAAAGTTGGAATGATTGTTGACAGCTTTCCAGTAAAACCGAATTTGCTCAATTTGGATTAATGTTTGTTCAGATATCATCAAACAATGCTGTTGTACCAGAATTTTCTGATTTTAATTTCTAACAAAAATGAATTATCAGATTTTAGTAAATTTATGTTTTGCAAGAACTATTCTATTTCTATGAAGAACCAATTTTGAACACAACATGAAAGTTGTAGATAATTTCCTGCTTGATTTTGTAACTTTGACACGATTCAGAGTTCAAACTGAAGGGGGGAGATATATTTTTGGTTTCTTGTTGTGGGCAATAGCTATACACTTGTACATTTATTTCATAAAATCAACTGGCTAAATTTAAGAGACATTACACAGGGTTTTGATGCCAAAACATGAAACTAATACATTGATTATTATTTTCACGTTTGTATTAAGAGGCCCCAGCTTCAAGCTCCACCCTGGGTCCCCCAAAATCTCAGGACCGGCCATGATAAATTTTAGGACAAATTATGCAGTGGAGTAAAAATGCATTAAAAAGGTGCAAGCCACAATCTCTCCCATCTTTAATTACCCAACCCCCAATGAACTAAATGCATGTAGAAATTAGACTAGCCACAGTGGGGAGTAACTTAGAGTAGTAACATGCATATGTTACTAGTCTATATTACTACCTCCACAATGGGGAGTAACATATATACGGTGTCATGCAACACTTCACTTATTAAGTTGTAGACTCATTTTTGTCTTGGTATGTGTGATGTTACTCATAGTTCTAGTAACTAGCTGTGTTACCACATCACTCTCTTTCTTCATTAATTACTTGCCACATCATCTATTTTATCTAAATATGTGTGATCTTACCACATATATTACTCCCATTGTGGGTAGTCTTAAGGAGACCATGCGAAGAATGTTATTGGTCTTGATTACCGTCTGATGAAAGAGAATCATTTTTTCTACTTTAAAATGCATTGAGAAGATAAAAGAATACTCTTTTGTGGACAAATTTCAAACCCAAATGTACACTCTTCACCGGACGAAGGGAGTAGGCTTCTAGCACTAGTCCAGTTTGGACTTCGTGCAGGTCCAGGTCAATCTTAGGTCGGTTGCTTCATGTATATATATACATGAGGCCTACATGAGTTTTTGTAACATCGAGGAGAAAACCAGAAAAGAGAGAAAATGAGGAAAAAGAGAAAAAGAAATTAAGAGGAGAAAAGAGGGGCGTGACACGTGCCCTTAGCTATCAGTTTTTCGTGCATGTGTGTTCATGTGATTTGATGTGATCGATTGAATTTCCAACAAACATGACTTCTCATCTATTTGTGCTCCTCGTGATCTTGACCCGTTGAAGATTCACAGTTTGATGACTAACCAGCTCGATCGATAATATCGGACCAGATTATTCCCCTTCAATTTCAACCTGGTGAATTATCATACCAACTCAAGTATGTTATATGGACTACTTAGTCACGCGAACAACCTTGGAGAACACACCATCTTGTGAATTACACCATCCAGCTCCTAGCTCAATATACACGCTGACTGCATTATGGAATACACCATCCAATCCAACATCATGTAGGGACAAGATCACATGGCCTCATTGAAGAGACACGGCTTCACCGATTTACCACCTCACATATTTGAACTTGATCCTTTCATGTAGATTCACGGACGACCCAGACACACTTCAAGTGCAACGGGTCCTCACAAAGAGGAGCACTTGGACACAAATACACAATGAAGTCCGATAGCAAATGCTCATGCATTCCTGATGGACGATCAATGACTAGATTGTTTTTCTTGACTAATAGATCATCAGAGGCTGTCTCAACTAACAGTTTGTCAGTGCTAGTGACTTTTGTCGGCAGAAGGCGGTATCGAATTCAATGTTGTTGTGTAGCGAGACACGACACTGACTAGACATGCTAACATCCTTGCACTTGAATCCTTTATTTATCGGGCAGCGCTATGCGTAGGCCCACAGATAAAGAGAAAAGATCCGGCACCTTCCTGAGCATTGGATGGACACGCTAATGGCCGTCCGAGCAATAACGTGTTTAGCCTCCCTTTGCAACATGGCTGGAGTTGCGGTATTTTCTGCAACAGAGGTCTTGTTGCAGGAAATAGAGGTCATGTTGCAAAAAAATTATGTAACACATAAATTTTGTTGCAGATTTTTTTTTGCGGGGCTGAAACATGGCCCTTTTGCAACAAGAGCATTGTTGCCATTACAACAGGCCCTTTGTTGCAAAAGCAAAACATCTCACCTCTAGCCCTGGGTTAGGGAGATTAGGGCGAGGACGCCGGCTGGTGGGAAGGACCTCTGTTAGGGCACGACAGGGCTGACCGCACCGTCAAGATCGACATCCGGCTGCGGCTACCAGGCGCAGTGCCAAGTCTAGGTACGTTCCTAGTAGCCATGGTGCGAGCTGTCCCAGGAAGATGCAAACCGGTGTTTCTTGGATCCCCTTGTTGTTGCTAAGGGTGGCAGAGCTCGCATGGTGCTGCAGAGGACGATGGCTAGTGCGACAAGGCCAGCACCGGCAGCCGCACGTGGTCGCATGACGATATGGATGGAGAACTTGGCATTTGGGCGGAGATGCAGGTGAAGGGAGAAAGGTAGGAGACAACGCTGGAGAGGATAATATTTTATGTGAGCGACCCTCGAGCGGTGTGTGATCCCCAATAGGATACATGCCACACAGGACATGTTGGAGAGACGGTCCCCACCAGGACGTGTTGGAGTCATTTCTTTGCAACTTGGTTTATGTTGCGATGTGTTTGCTCGTGAGTGCACCATCAGATCAAATCAGATACAACGACGGGAGAAGCGGTCGACGCGAGAGCTCGATTCTCTGGCTGAAAGCTCTGCCGAATAAGATCTTGACGGCCTTTTTCCGGCAACACACTTCGGCACCACTGCCCATAATTAATATGTTAAACAAGTAATGGGTATTTTCTGTCATCCATTGGTGTTGGTTTTATTTAAATTAGCAAGTTGGTGTTTATGCTACACAATTAGCCACTCATCATCTCTTCAGTTCCTCATACTATGCACACGGTTATTAGGGGGAAAAGACGGAAAGAACAGAGGATGACACTAATCGACGTATGCTTCTAAAAAATAAGTGATGATATCTGCATCGCTTCCTCTACACGGACCCCAATATTTCTTCACTAGGATTAGCCTAATTAGGAAATGGTTGGGGTAAATTAGATCACAACCCACACCTGGTTGAGTCTAATAGTTTTTTTATTTGTTTTCTTGTTATTATTTCATGAACTGATCATACTATGGCTCGTTGTAGGTGCCGGTGTCTTTGGACACCTGTCAGACTCTTTTCTCGGTCGGAAGGGGTCCCTCCAGGTGGTGTGTTTCCTCAATGCCGTTTTCGGCCTCCTCACAGCTCTCTCCCCAAACTATTGGGTTTATGCATCCTTCCGCCTTCTCACTGGATTTAGCGCCGGAAGTGTTTGCCTCTGCTCTTTCGTCCTTGCCACGGAGCCCATCGGGCCTTCCTACCGTGGTGCCGCGGGCATGTCCACTTGCTACTTCTTCTCTAGTGGCATCGCGGCCCTGTCTGGCATCGCCGCGCTATGCCAGTCCTCTTGGCGCCTCCTTTATGTTGTCACCTCACTTCCCTCTGTTGCATTCATGTTTTTCATCCTTCCATTCATCTCTGAGTCCCCGCGTTGGTACCTTACCCACCGGCGTACCGATGATGCAATGCGTGTCCTACGAGACATTGCTTCCAGTAACCGCAGAAGCTTCCCAAACAACATCACGCTAAAGCTCGACGATGAGGACGATATCAATAAGAAGGTTGAGCAGGCATCATCATCGATCCTAGATGTGTTACAATCGCGGACGACTCGTGTTAGGCTTGTGCTCTCGATGTCGATCAGCTTCCTTTGCTCAGTGGTGTACTACGGACTAAGCCTCAATGTGGTCAACATAAAAATCAACATGTACATTGGTGTCGTTGTTAATTCTCTCGCTGAGATGCCCGCATACCTACTCACTACCATGCTCCTCCCGCACTTCGGAAGGAAGCCGCTCGGCATTGGCACAATGCTTCTCAGTGGAATCTTTTGCACAATTGCCAGCCTCATTGCCGATGTCAATTCCATGAGGTAATCAAAAGCTTTCTTATTTGATATGGGTAGCATGATGATTTAGGGGGATTTTCTATATATAACTGCAATTTCATGTCACTCTAGGGTGGTCAGGATGGCATGTGGGGTGGTGGGCATCTTTGGGATGTCAGGGACATACAACCTGTTGCTAGTATACACATCCGAGTTGTTCCCTACGGTGGTGCGGACCGTAGCCATGGGATGCACGTCGCAAGCATCGCAAATGGGTGCCATACTAGCACCCATGGTGGTCTTGTTCGGGGATCGGGTGCCGTTTGCGGTTTTTGGCATGTTCGGTATCATCGGTGGGCTGCTGATGTTCTGCCTCCCAGAGACTATGGATAAGCCATTGTATGACACCATGTTTGGGCTGGAGAAAGGGGAGAAAGCGTCTAGGAGTGAAGAGGAAGTGTCAAAGGAAATCTCCGACTGCTGATCAATTTCATAAGAATCGTTGGAGCAGAAGATGTTACCTATGGAGACACATTGCACGCAAGAGAGAAGCACACTGATTTCCTCGTTTGTATTATTATTGTTTCACTGTGATAAATCTGAGGAAAATAAAATAAAATTTGTCATGTCCCCACAGATAAATGTTTTTACTTAGAATTGCATGTATATGCATTGTTTGTACTTTTTAAAATTTCTTTAAATATCATGGTAGAGATCTCTACAAGTGGTTTTTAATGCATAACTACCTATTTTATGTGTATGTAAATAGACAGTTAATTACAAATACAAGAAATTGCATTCTAGGATATAAAAAATATCTATGGTGGTGACAACACAGGGATTTCATCTATGGTGGTGCTCGCTGAATACCAAGTCTTGGATTCCGGGATGAAAATGCTGGAATTTAGTCTATTTTAGGCAGCCCAATAACTATTTCAGAAATTCCTAATAAATCCTAGAGGCCCACTTAGCCCATTTGTGCAAGGCAAGGGATACTACTAAAGTTTAGTCCCACATTGCTAGTTTAGTGGGAGTTGGACCTCCTTATAAGGGAGGTTCTTTTCCCACTTGTACGAGCATGAGAACAAGAGGGATATCCACGCCACGCCTCGCCACGACGCGCCACGGGTTGCGGGAATGAGCCGAGCCGATATCTAAATTTTTGCCACGCACTACGGGTATACGAAAGGTCACTCAGGAGCTGGAAAGTTTTTGCTATAGTGGATATTGAATACGAACGCTGCACCCTTCGGCTGCTGACTGTTCGTTTCATCTCCCGCGTTCCCTTCAGCTCCCGGCGCAGCCTCTCGCCTCCTTCTCTTGCGCCTATAAAAGGAAGGTCGCTCCTCTCAGAGAGACGCACCAGAATCTCTTCCTCCTCTCGCCACAAGTTCCTGAGCACTGCGTTGCTGCTACGTTCTTCCCCATCCCGTCTTGCGGCGTGCACCGCAGGTCGGGACAGTAGGCCTCCGAAATCGCACCTTTTGAGTCCTGTACGGGAGAAGGGTGATAAGGTTTTTGGGGAGCGCTCAACGCGACTACTGGCTTCTTCATCTCGGATGATCCGGTCGCCGACGACTACTTCCCCGACGACGACTTCTTCCCCGACGTCCACGACCTCCTCGACGACATGGCACGCGAGGACACCGACCCCAAGTCCAGCGCTTCTGTTGCTGCTGTCCCGTACATGTTCTTGTCTTTCCTGTTAAAGGTTCTGCCGCAGTTCCTTGTTCTAGTCCTTGTCCTACACATGATAGGTTCTACTTCATATATGCAACTAGTTCTACTGTCTGCTATAGATATGCTAGGCTATGGTTCATATATGCAGAAGCTATTCACCTTCTCTCTGTCAGAACGCGTGACTTGTTTTATCTCTATTATATTAGTCATGCTTTATCTAGTATTTCTGTTAATAAAATAATTTGGTAAATTGCTCATATTTCCAACAATCCAAAAACCTTATTATAGGCAATTTACCCCAAGTGGTTTTGCTGCTTCCATGAGACCTCCTATGTTTGAGGGTATCCACTATAAGAGGTGGCGCGTGAGAGCAGTCTTATGGTATCAAACCATGAGTTGCTATGACGCCACTCTCGGCAAACCTAAAGGAGAGCTTGATGCTCAACAGGCACAAGCTTTTCAGAAAATGGATACTCTGTTTAAGGCTGCTCTCTTGAGTGTTCTTGGTGAGAACATAGTTGATGCTTATGCGTCAATTGATAATGGAAAAGATATGTGGGATGCACTCGAGGCCAAGTTTGGGGTCTCGGATGCTGGCACTGAGCTGTACATCATGGAGCAATTCTATGATTACAGGATGACTGAAGAGCTCATGAGATACAATCATTTTCTAGAGAACTTGAGCACTTCAGTTGTATACTACCGGACAAGTTTGTTGCCGGAGGTATCATCACTAAGCTTCCTCCTTCATGGAGGAACTTTGCTACCTTGCTGAAGCATAAGAGGCAGGAGTTTTCCGTCCCGGATCTCATTGTCACTCTTGATGTGGAAGAAAAAGCGAGAGCAAAGGACACACGTGCTCGAGGTATTGAGGGAGGATCTAGTGCCAATGTTGTACATAAGCAGAACTTCCAGCCCCACAAGTTCAAGAACAAGGGAAATGCAAAGTTTGATGGGAAGAACAAGGCTGTGCAACACACGAACTTCAAGAAGAAGAATGGCAAGAAGAAAGGTGCTTGTCATGTGTGTGGGGATCCTGATCATTGGGCTCCTAGTTGCCCTAATCGCTATGGCAAGCGTCATCCTGGGAAAGGCGGCAAGACCGCTAATGTTGTCATTGGAGACACTGACATGAAGGATGCTGGGTATGGTATATTTCCCACTATTCTTTCAGTATGTCATTCTCCTGACTGGTTGATTGACACGGGTGCTAATGTGCATGTATGCGATGATATTTCCATGTTTTCGTCTTATCAGACCACAGGGACTTCAACCGTGCTGATGGGCAACGGTTCAAGTGCTTTTGTTCGTGGTGTTGGCACGGTCGATCTGAAGTTTACTTCGGGGAAGATCGTGCGGCTGAAGAACGTGCATTATGTCCCCTCCGTCAATAAAAATCTTGTTAGCGGATCTCTTTTGTGTAGAGATGGCTACAAGCTTGTCTTTGAGTCGAATAAATTTGTAATATCCAAGTATGGAACCTTTGTTGGTAAAGGCTATGAGTCAGGAGGCTTGTTTCGTTTATCCTTATCAGACGTTTGCAATAAAGTTGTTAATCATATTTTCAACAATAGTGAATCCAATGTGTGGCATTCACGTCTTTGTCATGTTAACTTTGGTTGCATGTCGCGACTAGCGAAGTTGAACTTAATCCCTAGTTTCACCACCGTCAAGGGATCTAAGTGTCAAGTGTGTGTGCAAGCTAAGCAACCTCGTAAGTCTCACACGACTGCGGAAATAAGAAATCTTGCACCACTAGAGCTCATACATTCAGATCTATGTGAAATGAATGGTGTGTTGACAAAAGGTGGAAAGAAATATTTCATGACGTTAATTGATGACTCCACTAGATACTGTCGTGTGTATCTTCTGAAGTCTAAGGATGAGGCTTTGAACTTTTTCAAGATCTATAAAGCCGAAGTGGAAAACCAACTTGATCGAAAAATCAAGAGGCTTAGGTCCGACCATGGTGGAGAGTATTTTCCAATGAATTTGATGCTTTTTGTGCGGAACATGGTATAATCCATGAGAGGACGCCTCCCTATTCACCTCAGTCAAATGGGGTGGCCGAAAGAAAGAACCGTACTCTAACAGATTTGGTTAATGCCATGTTAGACACTTCGGGTCTCTCCAAGGCATGGTGGGGGGAGGCGATATTGACTGCATGTCATGTCCTAAACCGAGTTCCCACAAAGAACAAAGAGATAACTCCATTCGAGGAATGGGAGAAGAAAAGGTTAAAACTCTCTTATCTGCGAACATGGGGTTGTCTGGCAAAAGTCAACATTCCAATTCCAAAGAAGCGGAAACTTGGACCAAAGACTATGGATTGTGTTTTTCTGGGATATGCTTTTCATAGCATTGGCTATAGATTCTTGGTTGTAAAATCAGAGGTACCTGACATGCATGTTGGTACGATCATGGAGTCGAATGATGTGACTTTCTTTGAAGATATCTTTCCCATGAAGGATATGGCTACCTCATCTAATCAGGAGATGCCTAGTTCATCGAATCAGGAACCAGTTACAATTACCGAACCTGCCATTTCGATGGAACACTTTGAAAGTCATGTGGAGGAGAACAATAAAGTTCCTACTAGGAGCAAGAGACAGAGGACTGCAAAGTCCTTTGGTGATGATTTTATTGTGTATCTCATAGATGACACTCCCAGTTCTATTTCAGAGGCCTATGCATCTGAAGATGCTGACTACTGGAAGGAAGCGGTTCGTAGCGAGATGGATTCCATCTTGGCAAACGAAACTTGGGAGATAACTGATCGTCCTTATGGGTGCAAACCTATAGGATGCAAATGGGTATTCAAGAAGAAGCTTAGGCCTGATGGTACTATTGAAAAGTACAAGGCTCGGCTCGTGGCTAAGGGTTATACCCAAAAGGAAGGTGAAGACTTCTTTGATACTTACTCACTTGTGGCTCGACTGACCACTATTTGAGTTCTACTTTCACTAGCTGCCTCACATGGTCTTCTCGTTCATCAAATGGATGTTAAGACTGCTTTCCTAAATGGAGAGTTGGACGAGGAAATTTATATGGAACAGCCAGATGGGTTTGTACTAGATGGTCAGGAAGGGAAAGTGTGCAAGTTGCTGAAGTCTTTGTACGGACTTAAGCAAGCACCCAAACAGTGGCATGAGAAGTTTGAAAGAACTTTAACAGCTGCAGGCTTTGTTGTGAACGAAGCTGACAAATGTGTGTACTATCGCCATGGTGGGGGCGAGGGAATTATCCTGTGCTTGTATGTTGATGACATACTGATTTTCGGAACCATTCTGAATGTTATTAAGGAGGTCAAGGATTTCCTATCTCGTTGTTTTGAGATGAAGGATTTAGGAGTGGCTGATTTCATTCTGAACATCAAGTTGTTGAGAGACGATGATGGTGGGATTACATTGCTTCAATCTCACTATGTGGAAAAGATCTTGAGTCGCTTTGGCTATAGTGACTGCAAGCCCTCTCCAACACCATATGATGCTAGTGTGTTGCTTCGAAAGAATCGAAGAATTGCTAGAGACCAATTGAAGTATTCTTAGATTATTGGCTCGCTTATGTACTTAGCCAGTGCTACAAGACCTGACATCTCTTTTGCTGTTAGCAAATTGAGTCGGTTTGTTTCAAAACCAGGAGATGTGCATTGGAAAGCTCTAGAAAGAGTTTTGCGTTATTTGAAAGGCACTGCAAATTATGGAATTCACTACACTGGGCATCCAAAGGTGCTTGAAGGGTATAGTGACTCAAACTGGATCTCAGATGCTGATGAGATAAAGGCCACGAGCGGTTATGTATTCA